GGAATTCGTAGGTACCTACCTACAAAAAAGTTTTGAGATACTTTGTATGTGGTAAAATTATGTAACAATTGAAAAAACTACAAGGTTTCATAAGTTCTATATAGTTATCACTAGGTAAAGTCTTAAAAATTTAAAGTTAAACATTTTATATGTATTGGGGTCTATTCTGTAACATTTTAATTAATTTTAAACTTCAGGTTAAAAGTTATTTATATTCATCGGTTTAACTTTTTGTTTGTTTTATTTGTTATGTGGTGAATTTGTACTTTCAATCATTCATTTGACTATTTTTTCATTAAGATGATTTTCGAAATATTTTTACATGTTACAATAATAAAAATCTTTCAGATATACCCAGCCATAAATTATCAAATGGTAGCTTAGCCAAATTTAGAGTGAATCCATCAAATCTCATTGAAAATATATTTTACAGAGTTGCTTTTTCGTAATAAAATCTTAAGCCAACAAACTTGGTTTATAAAGACTAAAAAGTGTAGTTTGAAAATCTCCCATTCCGCCCATGCAAACTTAAAACAAACATATTTCACGGAAGTAATCCGGAGCTTAGAGTGTGCATCCTGTTGACGGACGGATTATGCCCTGAAAGCTGGCGAAGGCTCAAAGCCGAAACGCTGAATGGTTGAAAGCTGAAAGGCGAACCAGGCCGTGTCAGCGCTGGAAGCTGGAAATGAGTAGCGAAATGATGGGGGGGCCGCTCGCCGGAGGACCCCCCGCAGACGCTGATTTAATACATACTGCTGCTTGCTCTGATTTTTGTTTAATACCCTCAGGATCGGACTTGGAAAGTTTTTATTTACAATTAGGTGAGAAGTTTTCTTATATATAATACAATGTGATATAAAGTTGATCAATCTAAAAAACTAAAGTTCTATTCGCTAGTGTACCGTACTTGTCTGATAACTTAATTGCACTGAGCTAATATGTAACACTAAACTGTACAATACTTTGGTTTTTTACTAATACAATCAATTGGCTAACTCAAGAGGTTTCACTTTCTCGAGCCTTCTTGTTAGGTTAGTGAAGTCAAGAGGTTGGATCGCCTAAGTGTTCACATGTTGGTAAAGCCGTTGTTCATGACTACTGGTGAATTTAGTCAAAATCTGGTCAACATTGACAATCTTGATCTTGAGTTCGCTGTTTATAATGTACCAAGGTAAATCGACAATGTTCCTCAGTAATTGGTTCTGGAATATCTGAATCATAAGGATAATATTATGGCCAGCACAATCTCTGAGCTAAAGTTCCTGGTTTAAGGACTTGCTTATCCAAAAGAATGTTGTTGTATGCAGATATAGACTTGAATTTTTACCAAATAACCAGTACATTTTTCTTGAATTTTATACTTAGTTTTTGTCCCACCTTTCTTGCCAATTCCTCTAGCTTGTCTCCCTTGCTTCCCTTATTCTTTTGTTTATAGTTCCAGTAATGTAATTTGTTAGTAGGTTGTCGATGGGCAGCACCCCCGCGATAACTTTAACCGCTGCAGTTGATATTGTGCAATATGTTGATGCCACCCACAGGAATATCTTCTTTTGAGCTCTTTCCAGTAGGTTTCTATAGCTTCTCATTTTCACAACCCTGTGTCACTCGGATGATCGGTAGAGTAGTGCAGAGTGCACCACGCTGGCTAATATTTCTCTGCTGTTAATCACCGTTGTCCTGGCATCTGGCTTGTTATGGGCTTCTTAACAATTTTCACAAAGGTGCAGTCAGGGCCGCCGAGAGCCATGGTGAGCCCCGGGGCATTTTTATAAAAAATCAAGTCCTTTCTGTGATATTTATAAAAAAAAGGTTCTCAAGCAAAATCAGATCGAGCCTTTCTTAGAGAAATCCAACAACTCACCTTGTATTTTTCGTAACAAGGTCCTCCCTTTTGTAACGAACTTTTTAAAAAATTAAACGTACTTAACTAAAGCTGCCGGGCCCCCCTTGTATCCGGGCCCCCCCCCCCCCTCTCGTCTGACTTGGGTGCAGTTTAAGGACTGTATCTGAAAATTATTAATCCTATAGATCTGGGTATGGTTGTGGAAGTAGCACATTCAGTTTGTTTTAAGCTGTCATGCCATACTTTATCAAAAGCCTGCCCAACATCAACAAATATGGCTGTGGAGACTTCTATGTTTTCTAATGCTTGAATCTATAGTTAATTGTTCTTATTACTATAAACAATAGAAATATTGGTCTATAGCGCAAAACTGCGCATGAAGTTTTTCCCGGTTTAGGGATCATAATGATTTTCCACAACCAAGGGACATACCTTAGTTTGAATGAGGTTTTAAATAGGTATGTAAGTTTTATTATGGCTTTCTTCGGAAGTTTTTTTAAAACTTGTCCTGTAATTAAATTAAATTAAAAGCCTGGATCTTGGGAACAATATGTTTTTATATCCTTTGCAATTTCATATATTTTTTCTACGCCCTACCTTTAAAGTACCTTGTATTTCACCGCTTTTTAACGCTTAAAACGGCTGTTTATGGTTAGAGTGAAAAAAGTAAAAAAACGTGAAATAAAGTGCCATAGCGTTAACTTTATTTCACGCTTTCCATAAGCTAATACAGTGATTAGTGCAATTCGTCCACATCTTTACCGGAAAAAAATATCAAGTCACCTTTGACAGCACATGAACTGTAACTGATTTGACGTTAACAGATTTAATTATTATAGTATCAATAATTCGAGGTGATTTAATTTAGTAGTTCCTTATATTTTTATTTAGATGGATAGTGAAGATTCCGAGTTTGAAATATGTACACCGGAAGAAATCGTAGAAAAAGCTAATGTGGCCACACTAAATTTGCTGCCGGAGAAATCCAAAGAAAATTATTTAAAAGAATATGACACTTTTATGAAATGGCGGAACCAGAATAATATTCATAGCTTTACAGAGCGGGTGCTACTAGCGTTTTTTGAAGAAAAGTCTAGAAAATTCAAGTCTTCTACATTAGGGTCCAGCTATTCTAAACTAAAAGCAACCTTACTTATTAATGATAACGTAGACATAAATAAATATGCTAAACTAACAGCATTTCTGAAACGAAAATCGGTTGGGTACAAACCCAAGAAATCCAATACATTTTCAAGGGAGGAGATTAACAAGTTTTTATTGATTGCTCCAGACGACAAATATTTAATGTTTAAGGTAAAAGTTTAAAATATTTAATTTGTTTTTACTTACTTTATTTTTTAAAAATTCGTAGGTTACATTAATACTGGGAATAGCTGGAGGTTGTCGACGAGAAGAGTTGTATAAAATGAAAATTGACGACATTGAAAATAAGGGACAATTTCTACTCATCACGATTCCAGATTCAAAAACGCATACAAGTCGGCGTTTTACGGTAATTGGAGAAACCAGTAAAAACATTAATTTAATACATTTTTATCAAAATTATGCTAATCTGAGACCGAAGAATGCAACCACCAACCATTTCTTTCTATCATATAGAAATGGAAAATGTACGAAACAAGTAGTTGGTATAAACACTTTTTCGAAAATTCCATCGCTAATTGCACAATATTTAAGTTTACCGCATCCAGAAGAATATACAGGTCATACGTTTCGACGTACTTCGGCATCGCTTCTAGTTGATTCAGGTGGAGACATTCTTCAATTAAAGCAACATGGAGGATGGAAATCTACTGCTGTAGCCGAAGGGTATGTGAACAATTCTCTCAATTCAAAAATGAACTGTGCTTCACGAATTTTACAAGGACCTAACAACAGCAGTTTTTTTAACCAACCTTCAACATCATATGAGAATCAAGCAAAGACAAATTTGACTGTTCCAAATATTCACAATTTAAATGATGCTTTATCTATGAATCAGACAGAAACAAACGTGACTGCATCAAAAATTCATATTAGTCAACCAAACAATTGTGTTTTCAATATCCACATTGCGAAATGAAAGAAACAAAAATACATAATTTACTTGTTATTTTTCTTAATATTATTTGTCCAATTCAATAATCATTACGCATTCGTTATTATAGTTGTAATTTACTAAAGGAATTTAATTAAAATATTCCAAATATCTATTTTTATTTTATTATTTGTATAGGGCTGTAGAAAAAATATTGTATGCAACATATGCATAAAGTGTCTTTTTTTCACTCATGGAATTGCCGCATTCGCCTGGCGGCTCATGCGGTCAACTTTTCCATTCGTGAAAAAAGTACCACTTTATGCACTTGTTGCATAAATTACTATTATAAACATATTTTGTGTCAGAACCCTTAATAAAGTAACTTTATTCCCAGCACTGAGGTAGTCAAGGATACTTATATAGTTCCAAACCAACTTTGAATCAACTCGGTTGCGGATATTCGCAAAATTAAACAAGCAGAATGAAGATAAGTCAGTATGTATCGCTATAGATTAAATTTGAAACGAAGCAAAATGTTATCACCATCACTGTTATTTGATATAAAATGTTCTTTCTTTTTAAAATATTCGTCGAAAATGATCGAAGCCAGTCCTGTTAATCCTTCTGTCTGCTTTAGCTTAGCCTTTATATTTCGGATTAATAAAGTATGAATTTAAAAGTTGGGTCCCTATAGCGCCGCTCCGCCATTTATATACTTTCTACCCGTAGTTTATTATTGAAATAAATAATGATGACCCCATTACGGATACATTAGAGCCCCTTTCCATGAATTTAAAAAAATTGAATCCATATTTTATGGCGAAAAAACTAATGAAATTTTATGAAAAATCTGGAACGGTAAAGGATCTACGAAAATGTTGAGTGAGTAGTAGAGGGAGGTGGATTTACAAGATAAGGAGGGTCGTATACATACAGGCTGGTAAGTATAAATTTTTTTTATAATCATATATACTTTATTCTCAAAAGTGTTAATAATATAATAAAATGGAATAAATGATTATTTTTATTAATGGTAAACATTTTTATAAAATTTACTTTTTATTTTAACAACATGACTAAATAACTACGTTAATTCTTATTTCTACTAAATATTCACATTGCAGGTAATATGGTCCTTACATGTTCCATCAGTCTTTGGACGGTAGCGATGTCGACTTCCCGGATTTTCTGGTCTATTCTGCGCCTTAGTTGGGCTTCCCAACCACCAACGTACACTTTTCTGCTCACTATAGACCAACAATCTTCAACGGGTCTCGCCTGAGGCACATTTGAAGGTTTGTCGACCTTGGGAACAAAATTGATGCCATTTGCAGCTAACCAGTCTGTCGTTCTTCTTGCGTAGTGAGGCGACGCTAAATCAGGCCAGAATATTATTTGATCGTTGCGATGATGAGTATCAATAAAATTCCGCAGCTTTGTAAGACATCTACCGATATAAATGTCAGCATTGATGGCTTCACTACGAACACGTCCAACATACGCCTGTGAAACACCATTATTCGATATGGCGCGCCACGCCAAGATTTTCTTCTCAAACTTATGTTTGCCTTTGAATTTCACATTATCTGGAGCATTTTGTACATTATCTGTATTGAACCCATAATTACCTTTGATCTCAGAATTGAATAATGTGAAATAGTATTCATACTCAATAACAATAACTTAACCAGGAAAATGAATACGTCTCAAAGCACGGCAACATCTCGGAATTCTTTCCAACTGATTGTCGTTATATTTTGGTGCCTTCCTTCGTTTTCCATACTGAATACCATTTCTGGAGAATGTTCTACGAACAGTTGCTTTTGAAACATGACATCTTCGACCTAACGTTCGTACTGACATTCCAATCTTGTTATTTGCTGCTTTAATTAATCTTCGTTCATTTGCTCGACTCAAAACTTTGGGGCGTCCACTTTTTGGTAAATTTGTGCAAGGTATATCCTCCTCGCATTCTTTTATTGTGTGGTAGATTGTCGAAACAGATATATTTTGGCCCCTATACATTCTGACAATATTACGCTTAGGTACTCGTCCTGCGGCATTAGCATATATTTCTTCTTTTTCTTTTTTAGCTATATGTGCTCAGTTTTTCACCTGGCTTACCAAGAAGCGAGTGATATGCCTCTTATGGCTGATTTTAATAAAATAAAAACTTTTTTGACAGTGAAAAAGTGAACACAAACAACAATTGAAGAATACAAGAAAAAAGAAGAAATTTATACTGACGCCGCAACCTTAAACAGATTTTCGAAACGACAAATACAGTTTCCTTTGACATATATCCTGCTTCTATTACTTGCTATGTAAATTGATAGATGGCGAAAGCTCTTGCAATGACCTTTTAACTGCAATATGAAATCATCTATTGTTTCATATTCCTTTTTCATGGTAGTAGAATGACCAATATTTGTTACCGGTATGTAAAAGGACATATTTTAAACTACGTTTTGAACTGTCAATAAAAAGGCGCCAATCGTCTGGAGTGTATTCTGACAAACTCATTTGTTCTAAGAGTCCTTTTATATCATTACAGAATACCAGGTTATTTTCCTGAGTGAAAAAAAGGCGTTAGATCCTTATCTCTTTTACGATAAAACGTAATATTAGTACCTGGATATAGAAGGTCATTTTCTTTTAATCTGGATGTAATTCAGTAGATTGAGGTTTCTTATGAGATCGTTCAGTTCTTGTTGATTCAAAAGCTGAGGAGTTGTTGAATCTACTTCAAATTCACTGTCGTTTTCTATATGATCTTACGGGAGTTCAGGAAGACGGCTGAAGTATGGAATGGGTATTTCTTCCGAGTGCAGTACAGGTCTTCTTGCAGAATCTAGATCGGGATATGTCAATTTGTGTCTATTGTTTCTATTCATGCCTTTAATATAAACGAGACAAAAATAGTAGTCATCATAAAGGTTTCGAAGTTCCCTTCAAACCATTGGTGCACCAAACTTTAGGCAGTTCCTCTTTCCAATTGTCCACTGTCGCAAATGTTCAACACATGTTTTACACATGACATGTGGAGTCCAAGATTTATCCTGGTCTCCCAAATGAACGCCAAAAATAGGCAAGATAAGCCTACATTGTATGCCGTGTATTGTATGAGTGTTGTAAATACAAACATTTTTTGTTAAAATGATAATAATAGATGTTTATCTTTAAGTAAAAAAAGAATATATAGAATTTTCGAATGACATATAGCAGAATTGTTGGGTATATGAAATCTTTACCGAATACCCTTCGTCGGATGATTTCCAGTGTATAAATATGAGATTTTAAAGCATTACACCATACTAAAAGACCATAACTCAAGTGACTCTTCACCAAAGCACAAAAAATATGTTTTCCTTGGTTTCTAATTTATTTAGAAAGAGGGGAGCATTTTAGCAGTAAAGTACTTCATACGCGAACAACCTTCCAATATCAAGTTATAATTTTCACTTTGAAAAGTTTAGAGTTGGAGACCGCCATTCTTTGGAAATCTCACTGTTACTTACCGGATAGAGATCTGTATGAACGTTTTTTGTTATCATATTCGCATCAGAGCTTGATATAGCTGTTTTAGCTAAGTTGCCTGTTCTCTTTAATTTTTCTCAATTTCTCTATGTGATGGAGCCCATGTAAAAAAGAGTTTCGTATGGCTTTTAGTGCATTTATTGTAAGTAATTTTTTATTAGGTGCAGGATGTGGTGACTAGGGTATGTGGCTTCTAATACTACAACTGGTACTTAGGGAATCTATTACAACTAGACATGGCTATGGCCTCCTTTCTTCGAGAAATAGAAAAGATTTTAAAACGGCAATAGAGAATATGGTGATTATTGGGTGATACCTACCCCTTCGTTTGTTTTAGAATCATCAGTGCAAATGATAATTTCGCAGTGGGAAAAGTATTGTAGGTGATTTTGGAATGTTTTATGAGAAGCGTGGGATTTGTTTCAGTGTTTTTGAATATGTTTAAGCTAGTATTACAGGATAGAATAGTCATTGGGGGCAAAGACAGAATAAAGACAATAACACATTCATAAAATTGGAGGACTCAATTTTTTTCCATTAGTAAAAATATCAATTAATCCGGTAGAAAACACACAGACTTTTCTACAAAAGGCATGAAATAACATTCATAAAATCTATAGTTTAACGATTAAAAAAGTTGGTGTCATTATGCCTTACATGCCCTATTTTATGAAACTCTTTTATAAAATTTCTTTATAATTGTAAAATAAATAGAAACATTAATTTTGTTAATTCAATTATAAAGAGTAGTCGTAGAAAAAGTATGGTAACGTAACACAAGTTGTAAGCCCATCATGTATTCGTAGAATTGACGTTAACTTTCCACTTCGTGTGTAATGGGCTAGTTACAACTCTTGTTGCATAATAATATACTAATGTACGATAAAATCTAATTTTGCAAATCTCTCATAGAAAAAACGTTATATTAGACCAATATATCAACGATAACCATGCCGCAAAAATGCGTTTAATCACGTGGATTTATCTACGCCGGTCGCACGCTATAAATTTTCCAAAAATATTTGTCGCAAACGCGAAATTTTAAAATGAAACGCCACATTTTGGCGGCTCGACTCCCGCATATATCCGCGATTTGTGTCAAATAAGCGGCAAACAAAACGATTTATGAAAGCCGATAATCCTGTCCTTTACCAGTGAGGCCGTACACGGTACGGCGTACAGGGCCTGTCGTCGGTCGGCGTGTTTGTATCGGCGGTATCGGGCCCCCGGGGCCAGGGGGCCCACCGTCGAAGGACTGGCAATTTGTAAATGGGCGCACACGTGCCGAAAATACCCGTTTGAATGTTTTCTCGCCAGAGTCACGTGGCTGGTGGCCGGCGGACTTGCCTTATAGACGATATGATGGGTGATTGAATGGTATACACTGCTCCTCTGAAATATTTATTCCACATTTTGAAGTGAACACTAAAATATAATATAGAACATACCCAGTGGTTCGTTTTATAAACTATACATAAAAGGTTTATTAAACTCTTCGTGACACCCTGACATCCTCAACTTTTATTCCTTCTTCGCTTCCGCTATCCCGTCTACTTCTTTTCCTCCACACTACTTAATGCTACTTTCTCTCCTTTTTCATACGTACTATCTGCTCTATACTTAAAAAGAAATGTACGCTTGATATAAGTGAATTTTACTACTTTAGAAACATTTTTTATGGATCACCCCTTATAATATGAAACATACCAAAATAATACATGAGGTAAATAATCCTATATTAAATATTGTTATTTATTATTTTGGAAATTTAAAAAAAGTGTACCGCCCCTTTTGGGTCTGGGCAAGGAATTTAATTTACTGAATTTGGTTTCCATATCAAGTGTCGCCAGCCAACGTGGGGCTCAAATTTTTTAGATTCAAGTTTTGGAGTTGCTCGTAAAATTTGGAATTTTAAATTTGTGTAAGACTGCTTATTAATTGATTTTGAAAATACGGGAATCCTTTTGAGTGAATAATAGGGTGTTTGTTGAATGAATAGTAGAAATTAAACTCAGTAAGGTCTTAAACTAAGATAAAAAAAAATGATAGATAATAAAGGTGTATGGTGAAAATGATAAAATAGCAAGGGATTTGGAAATTCATTGAATTGGATATTTAAATATCAGTATATTTGTATATACCAGGTCTCACTATATTTTTCCACATTTGAGGACTTGTATCTTCCGAACCAATTAAGATATCCGGATGCGTCTAAAATTTTATTTCCGTAATACCCTAAGAAAACTTATGACCCTGCTTAAGTCTTTAGTGAAAACCGCATCGGCATATCTTAATTGGTTCGTAAAATGTGGAAAAATGTAGTGAGACACACGGTATTGTATTAGAAAAAAATTTAAACGTGGCTTTTGCTATAATTTTAAAGTACTGTCCTTTCATAAGACAAAAATGTGTGTTTTTAAAAAAGATTCCAGCCTTTAAGTTTTTCTCATAAAAACACTATTAGCAAAATAAAATAAAAATTAAATCAAAAATTTAAAGGACTTCTTCAGATTTCCTCTCAGTAGCGTAGTTTAGCACAGGGGGCCTCGGTGCATGATATTTTTCAGAGCCTCCTGGGTCAACAAACAATTTCCATTGAGAACATTTTGTAATTTGTGCTATATTTTAAAAAACATGAATTTTTAAAATTATCACGAATTTTAATGCAATAAAATAATTATATCCCTGTGGGACGACAAATATCTCCGGGGCCACGGTGCTTTGCACCGAATTGCCCTAAGATAGCTACGCTTCTTCTTCTTACTCATTTTTCAATTTCTTAAGTAGCTTTACCAGATGTTCAGCAAATGTATGCAACCCTCTCTACATTACTCTTTATCCACATTGTACTTATCAGTTTTTCTAATCGAATGTTTATTTTAATTTATTGAGTCGCCTTCCGCAAAGAGAGAGAGAACAATAACTTAAATGCAAAAAGGAGAATGGAAAAAAGGAGAATGGAGAAAAGGAAAAAGCCACAACAATATACGACCAAAGAACACTCACATTTCAAAAAAGAAACCACACTGAATCTAGAGCAGAGAATATAGAGTAAATAATCTAATAACTATCGAATAGTTTTGGAAAATATTTTAATA